TAAAAAGAGTATAGGGCCAAGGATTGAACCTTGAGGAACCCCTGAAGTTACAGGATGTGAAGAAGAGTGTTGTCCATCGAGGACAACTTTTATACTACGATTGGAAAGAAAGGACTCAATAATCTTAAAGACGTTACCAGCTACACCATAAGAAGAAAGCTTATGGAGAAGACCAGCATGCCAAACTTTATTAAAAGCTTTAGAAATGTCAAGTGCGATAGCCTTAACCACTCCACCTCTATCTAATGCATGGTAAAACCTATCGGTTATTACTGTTAGCACATCAGCTGTAGAACGAGAAGACCGAAATCCATATTGATGATCAGAAAGTAAGTTATTTGATTCAAGATGAGAGATTAAGTGTTTGTTGATTAAAGATTCAAAAACCTTGCTTATGACAGGAAGAAGACTAATGGGACGGTAGTTAGATAAATCAGATCGCTCTCCGGAATTTTTGAAAATAGGGATAACAGATGCTGCTTTCCAGCATGATGGAAAACAAGACTCTGATAAGCACTTGTTAAATAGTTTAGAAAGTATGGATGAAAGCTCCGGAGAACACCTCTGCAAAACTACAACAGGAATGTTGTCAGGACCACAAGCTGTTGAAGAGTCTAAGCAGGAAATTACTTTAGATACAGAAGCTGAAGTGATGCGAATGTCAAGCAAGGGATCAACCTGTTTGACGGCTATGTCAGGTAAAACGCAACTAGTGGAATCAAGAGATGATATTGATGAAAAGTTCTTAGCAAACAATTCAGCTTTGTCTTTAGGTGAGGTGACAAAGTCTGAACCATACAAGAGAGAAGGAATAACAGATTTGCCCTTATTATTGATACTGTTAAAGATTCTCCAGAAGTCTCGAAAGCCTAATTTTTGTGATGAGATACGAGATTTAATGACCTGGGAATAGCGAGCTTTGGCGTCAGACAAAACCTTTTTACAATGGTTTCTGGCGATAGTGAACAGATGTCTGTTATCTGGAGAATTGTTTTGCTGATAGATATGGAAGTAACGGTTTCGATTAGAAATTTGTGCAGCGCAATGTGAGGAAAACCAAGGAGAAGAGTGAGGCTTGACCTGAAATCGTCGAGAGGGAATAAAAGATTCCATGCCAGCCTGAATCCACGAAGTTATGTAAGAAGCACATTTGTCAGCAGGAAGGCGAAAGATTTCTACCCAAGGGCCATCACGAAGAAAATCACGGAAAGAGTCCCAGTCAGCTTTAAGGTAGTTGTATGTGGTACGATGATAGGGGGATTCTGATGAAGTAGAAGAATTTGATAATAGTTTTAGAGAGATCAAACCGTGATCAGAAGTACCTAAGGGTGAATGTGGAGAAATTGAGCACTGACTAGGATCCAAAACAAGTCGAGTAGAGAAGGTAAATGATTAGGGTTGTCTGGAAAACGAGTTGGAAAGTTGACTATTTGAGTTAGAGATTGAGAAAGGCAAAAGTTGAGGGCCTTAATGCCAGCAGAGTCACTGACACTAGAGCCAAGCCAATCGGTGTGATGGGCATTAAAGTCACCAACAACGACGATATTGGCCGATGGATAAAGAGAGAGGGCTTGGTCAATTTGATCAGAAATAACATCAAGAATAGTGCAATCTTGGGATGAAGGAGAGCGATATAGAACAAAGAGAAAGGCGATAGAGTGAAGTTGTGCTAAACGAAAGCACATAAATGAATAGTCTGTAGATTCAAACCTAGTTTCACGACAAATGGGTGAGTTCTTACGAATGTAGATGCCCAGGCCAAGCATGTGATTATTGGAGTCTTTACGAATTAAAGGAAGATAACCATCAACACTAAGATCACAAGATGGGACAGCCGAACTCAAATTAGTCTCACAAAGAGCATATAGGTCTGGTGAACTTTGCAAGAGATAAGACTCAACAGAAGAAAAGTTACTTCGAAGACCACGAATATTAGTAAATGATAGGTTTAGAGAACTTGGTGATGACGATGGTTTTTTGTGTTTTTTAGTTTTAGGTACTTTGGTCATTTTAAATTTATAAAGAACTTGACTCAAGTATAGATAGTACTCAGTACACTATTTAACAACTAAGCAATAGCCTCATTACTATTAATAAACCCTAAGCCATGACAAAGGGCTCCAAATGTGGCCTCTGCAATGCACACCAAAAGTACAAACAGGGACACCATCCATGCGCAACATGGCACTGTTAGTACTCTGATATTTTTCGGATGTTGATGGAATCAGCCTCTCTGAGAGCTACCACAGAGTTCGGGAAACCTGACTACCAGGGTGGCCTCAGAACCATAAAACTGAGTTTTAGAGCTGTACCCTCATAAGGAGATAATAGAATGAGTTGCCCAGTCATAAAAATAGAGACACAAGCAATACCCACGCATTGAGTCAAGAAGATCCAGCGTTCAACATCCTAAACTGGAAACAATGTATTAAGAATACATCTGCGCCAGCCTAATAGATGAGGAAGGGGTGGGAGGCTGGTCAACAGATAGAATCTGTTTACCCCTTAAGTCTTTGCCTAGGAGGCCTTCTACAAGACAGCAGCTGGATGCATGTAACATCTGCCCAAGATGAGTATTTTTATCGAGACACCATCTCTAGCCTTTACTCAACCAAGAGCCCTAAGGCAGGGGGTGTTTTAATTCGGAGTTAACTTCTCCTAGCCTTTGCCTAAAAAAGCGTATCCTACAAGGCAGCAGGACATGGAGCAGGTTGTACTGGGTTACATGTTACCAGTAACAGGAAAACCTGACCTGACCAAAAAATTCAGCAACAAAATAAGATGAGGCAAGCAAAAAAAAAAAAAAACAAGTCTACAATAAAAAGAATAATTTTCCTTTTCTTAATTTTTTTTTAAGAGGATAGTAAAAATAAAAATTGCAATGAGTTTGTAAAATTTATTTTTATAATTTTAATGTAACAACAATGGTTGAATGCAAGCAAATGCAAAACACAAAATCTGGAAAAATATCTAGCATTAAAAATTTTAGTTTATACAAAACCGTGTTCCTTGTTTATAAGGGGAGAATCAACTTAAATTTGTTAGCAAAAAAATAAAAAATAAAACAATTAACTTACGATTACAAAAGTAAGAACATTCTAGCCACTAACTGCATTACAAAAGTAGAAACACTATAATAGTGTTATTACTTTTATAACGCACTATTACTTTTATAACGCACAACTTTTAAAATTCATTCTTTGTTCAAGCAACATTAGTATTCCCAAATTTTAATTGAAGTAGAAAAATATCTTGAAGAATAAAGTGGATGTTCAGATAATATTAAAACTAAAGTAACTTATAATATCGTGACAGACAACTTTATGAAAAGGTGTTGTATTAAAAGTTTAGAATTATGAAAAACGTTACTAATGGACCGTAAAAACATGCGTTAATTTTAAAATTAACCAATAAAAATTTTTTATTGGTTGATTTTAAAATTAACGCGCGTTTTTACGTAATGTTTTTCATAATGCTATACTTTTTATAAAGTACTTTTTTATAATGTTGTTTAAGTGATATGTGAAAGTTCCTGGAATTTTTAATAATATTTGAATATCTGCTTTTTTCTAGATGCTTTTCTACTTTAATAAATGTTTAGAATTAATAATGTTGTTTGAACAAAGAATGAACTTTAAAAGTAAGTGCTATATAAATGTAATAACAATATTATAGTTTTATTACTTTTATAATGCAGTTAGTGACTAAAGTGTTATTACTTTTGTAGTCGTAAGTTTATTGTTTTTGTTTTGTTTTTTGTTACTTTCTCGCTAGCAAACTTTTAATAATTTGTTCCTTATAAACAAAGTGCAAAGCTTTGCATGAACTAAAAACCTAATATTTTAGCAGAGTTTGCAAACGCGATTGTATAATTTAACTCTTGATATAAACTTGTTACATTATAATTATACAAATATATTTTACAAACAGATGACGATACATATTTTCTCTTTTTTCTTTAAAAGAAAAAACACATAAAATATGGAAAGTCATCCTTTTTAATGCCTAAAACCATTTTTTTTTTTTGCTTTGACTTAATAAATTTTGTTGCCGATAATAATAACCACTAAGAAAAAACAAAAATAAAAACAACAAACAAATTATTTAAACTATTATTATTCTTTTCTATTTAAGTTTACTTTAACTTCTTATGCAGTTATTAAATTTAAAACAATTTTTCAGTAACGCATATAATATAACTTGCGCAAACGGATGTGGTCACATATATATATATATATACACATACATACATATGCATATAGGGGAAGTGGGGGCATAACCGCTACCGTAACATTTGGATTAATGTTATATGAAAATTTTGTACTTACAGTCTGAGTTTTCTCATTCGATATACTCTTAGCTTTACATTTTATTTAAAAACTCATTTATAAGAATTAAATAAAAAAATACAAAATCTAATTTCCAACATCTCAAAACAAAACTATTTCTTTTCAAGTTTTTACATGAACGCATTCAAGTGTGACAGTTGTAATTATTGTTATTCGTAATTACTTAACTTTGATATATACTAAAAATATGTGATTCTGCCCTAGAGGACAGTTTTTAGAAAGAATAAAGTTTCATAGCTTGCTTATTAGGTTATGTTCATATCAAAAATAGTTTTCACTTGATGAAATAACGGTGATAACACATCATAAACACTAAAATCAAATATTGCTTAATCCTCAAAAAAAAAAGGTTTGGAAAAACAATATGTAAATATAATATTTTTATCAAAATAAACATTATTATGCACAACTTCTCAAAAACATAACAGGCACTCTTTTTGGCATAAGCTAAATGAAGGAAACTATTTTAACGCGTGCTATATTAGATAACATATTTCAAATGTTAAAAATTGGTTGTGCCTCCATATGCGGTTATGCCCCCACTTCCCCTATTCATAATTAAGAGATATTATCTAATAATGTTAAAGATGTTAAATAAAATTTAAATTTTGTTATTTTTTTTCATCGCAGATTATTCTGCTTTTTTGCTACCTTGACAACAATGCCTCTGTCTCCTCTCATTATAACATCAGTTTGATTTATACACTCTATAGGAGAGCCAATCTTAAGTGAATGATTTAATTCCATTTCTTTGAATTCAGTGTTAGATAGATTTTTTCCCAAATCCTAATGAAAAAGTTATAGCTATTGCATATATATATATATATATATATATATATATATATATATATATATATATATATATATATATATATATATATATATATATATATATATACATATATATATATATATATATATATATATATATATATATATATATATATATATATATATATATATATATATATAAACACACTTACACATAAATATAAATATCTCTTACTTTATGACTTTTTATAAGATAGTAAGTTAGTGAAAAATAAATAATACTTACACATAAAGTGTATGTATTTTTCTTTATCAATATCATTAACAAACTTTATTATGCAAGTGTATACAGTACAATTCATGTAAGAAATATATTATATATATAAACTGTTAAAACTCAAATGTATGAACAAAATTAAAAATAAATAAAATTGTTTTAAAAACAAAGGAAAAAACCTCTACATATGGATGCTCCAGTAACCATGCAACTAACAGCTCTGGACGTATTTCATTGCCTAACTCAAGAAAACCTTTTTGAATAGAATCCATAGAAAAACCCATTCCAACTAACTGATTAAACAAATCATGCGAGTTTTTGTTTTCAGCTGATGAAATATTTTCAGCATATGATGAAATGTTACTCCTGTTCAAGTTTTCTTTGGAATGAAAATTTGGACATGGAGTAATTCTATCAGTATTTGTTGTCGAAGGGGAACTAACTGGCTTTTCAGAAAGTGCCAATACTGCAAGCTGTGCTTAGAGAAAATGGAAATTTGCATCATAGCAAAAAATTACCTAAAAAAATAAATAAATTAAACTTAAAAAAAAAAGTTACCTGTAACTCATCCTCATCATAGGTTGTTTGAATAACTGAGGAACATAGAGCTTTTGTAAGAAAATCATTCACTAATTGTCCGCTTAAATTAAACACTTTCATAAATAAAGTGGAGGAGATTTGACTGAAAATTCGCATGGCAGAGACAAAAACGCGAATACCATTAGTATGATATTCTAAAAAAAAAAAAAACATGATAAACTTTAAAATTTGTAATTCATACAAATATTAATTAAACTAATAAATATTAAAAGGTTATATAAAATAAAACTCTATCAGCAATCAAATCTTCGCAATCAATTATGTTGTCATCACAATAAGTTTGTACACAAACACACATTCATACACAAAGTTGCTTTAGTAAATAATTAAAATGCACAAATTTGAAAAAAAAAAACATTTTTTATTAACATTAACCATTTTTATATTTGATATTATTTATATCAATTATGCAGTTAATTTATTATTTTTAATAAATTAAAAAAAAATTACTTGCTTATTTAATTAGCTATAATATAGTATGTCACTAAAAACACAGATAACTAGCCTGGCACTTTTATCTTATCTCATTTTTCACATAGTAAACTCTTGTGCAAAAATCTTTATAATTTCTCTGCATCAAAAAGCATACACAACAAATTATAAACCATGTTTACATAACTATTTGTAATGTAAACTTTGTGTACTTTTGTAATGTGAACTTTGTATTTGTAATCTTGTGTAATTTGCATTAGTTATTATAGTTATGCAAACCTTATTCACATAACTATATATTTTTTAATTTTGTCTACTCTCATTCATATATTTTGCCTCAACACAAAACTATGAAACATGTACTTATTTTTTTGTTTAAAAGATGCTTACAAAAATATTCCTGAAATAAAAAAATAAAAAAAAAGTGAACAACAATAATTTCTTAAAAAAAGAAAAACATACAAACCATTAAAATGCCATAACTATCTAATATGGGCATTTTAATGGTTTTGTATGTTTTTCTTTTTTTAAGTGTTTGTCATTGAATATAAAAAACTTTAGGTATAATAAAAACTATTGGTGTAAACTACTGATGAAAAAGATTGTGGCTAATAATAAGGTTTAATGTATGCATATAAAGGTAATATATTAATATTAAGTATGTAATTTGCACACATAAGTTGCACCTACGCACTAGTAGTCTTTTAGCATATCAGCAAATGTTGATGCATGGGCCAATGCCAATTAACCAGCTTAACTAAAGGCCAATAGTTAGTAAACTAGTTAAAGCAGATTAATTGGAATTGGCTAATGCATCGACATTTGCTAATAGGCCTTACCACTACTGGTGCATAGGCGCAACTTATATATGCAAATTATATACCAAATATAATATATTACTTATATACATACTTTAAACCCTATTATTAGCCACAATTGGCCTTTTTCATCTGTACATCATTAGTAAAAACTGATGATGCCATAGTAAAAAAGCCATATGAACGGGCTTTTTAGAACATACATTGACTGAGAGTTAGGGTTTAGGAAGCTAAAATCTATGTACCAAGACCTTTTTTTCATGCAAAATAATGTTAGCTTTTTTTCAATAACTTTTTTCCCCCTGAAAAACTGTCTGTATTAAAATTGACAATTTAATTTAATAAAATCTTATTTTTAATTAGATTAATGCCAGGATATTAATCTAATCTTTGATAATATTGAAACTCGTTGCCCATAAACTAAATGGGCAATGAATGATTATGATGATTAAAATAGTATTTAAAACTATCAACTTTTTATTTAACTGTTATAATCATTAACTAACTGGTTGATTGTTATAACCATCAAGTAATTGTTTGGTTATTATAATCATTAACTAATTGGTTGATTGTTATAATTATTAGGTCATTGGTTGATTGTTACAATCATTAACTAAGTGGTTGATTGCAATAATCATTAACTAATTGGTCAATTGTTACAATCATGAACTAATTGGTTAATTAATGAAATCATTAACTAACTGGTTGATTGTTCGTAAACTATTAAATAAATGATTGATAGATGATTCAATCCTAAGTGTACATAACATTTATTTTGAGTTAATGAATGTCACATATACTATGATCTTAATATTATTATTATTTTATTAAAAATAAATATTTTATTAATTCTAGATAAAAAAAGATATAATAAAAAGTACCATATTCTCCATTTCCTAAACTTTTCCCGAACAAAAGTTTGGGTGACATCATCAGTGTAAACAAGCTTGACAACTTTTCAAACCCAGAACAATATTCAGAAAACCAATCCAGATCAAAGTCATACCTAGGAATCTAAAATTTTATTTAAAGTAACAATTTTTAAACAAAGCAACACCTAAAATATTTTTAAATATATTAAAACAACATTCATTTAATTACTATAACTATAAGAAAAGATCATCCAATTTATAATTTTTTTAACTTATATTCAAGTATTTAGTGGTAATATTCAATTACAACTGTGAGATTTACCATTGCAATATCTGTTGGAGCACTTTCAACAGGTATACGAGAATTAGATAAATGTACCACAACATGTCCATTATGCAATAAATGGCCTATATTTACAAGCTCAGATTTGTAAATTGCAGAACCATTTATACAAATTCTTTGCTCAACACCAACAATAGCAGAGATTCCAACAAATACACTACGTTGAACCTAGAAAAATATTCTAAAAATTATATTTGTTATTGGATACAAAAATATGTAAAATGCACTGAACACAATAATAAAAATAACATAGTTTAGAGACAGATTAACATAATGTAGAGAATATTTACTTGGAAACTTAAAGACCCTTATGTCATTTGATCTTCAGTTATAGCTGTTTACAGTTGCTCTGTACTACTAGAAACTTGTAAAAAAATTCAAGAGCTAACTAAAAACACCGTGGTGTAAGAGTGTGGTGTAAGAGTGTGGTGGCTTCTTAGAATACAAGTATTGCCATTATTTTATAGTTAAACCATGTAGGTGAAGAAATATATCTTATTCATTTATTCTCTCAAGGCAATCTCATCCACTCATTCCTTATTTTCTGTTATTTGCTTTTTAAAACATGATTGTTCTTCTTTTTATTGATTTTTTATAATCTATCTTCATTATTACTGTTTTTTGTTTATTTTTATTTATTTTATGTATGCATGCATGTATGCATGTATGCATGTATGTATGTATGTATGTATGTATGTATGTATGTATGTATGTATGTATGTATGTATGTATGTATGTATGTATGTATGTATGTAAACATTTTTATTTTGTTTCTTTGATAACACTTTCTAAAAGACATTATTTTATTTGCTTTCCACAATAAAACATATTTTTAGGTACAAAATAAAATAAATAATACCAATAATAAATATCAATAAAGTGAAAAAAAAAACAAAAAAATAATTACATAATTGATATATTTATCACTCAACTTTTATTAAACAATATCTAATACTTAACCTAATAAAAAAAACAAATTTATTTGGTTAACTCTTTATTAAAAAATTAGTGATGTATATTTAGAAAATAATTTATTTATGGTTATTTAGATAATTATTTAATTAACAAAAATTTAAAATGACATTACTTTTGTTCCTAAAATAAAATAAAAAAATTTAGACAAGCATTAAACCTTTTCAGATAGTTGACAGTCTAAATCTATTCTCAATAATTTACTGATTTCCAAACTAATCAATTGCTTCCAGGGTATATTCTGTCTAAGAAGCTTTAAAGTTGCTACAATTTCTTCTGCCAGATTAGAAACAGAACTTGCAGCCATGCACAGTCTTCTCCCTTCATTTTCATCTTACATGTAGAAGATTTTTTAAAGTTAAAATCATTCAACAAAACAATTATTTTATCAATTAATTAAAAAAATATAAATATAAATTTATGAAAAATCTAAAACAAAACATTTAAAGCAAGAATCGAAATATTATTTTTAAGTTATCAAACTTTTGTAACTAAATACTTCCAGCAACAAAACAACTTCATCAAATGTATCATTAAACAAATTATAATTTTTAACATATCAAAGAAATAATTACCAGTTGTGTAAACATTACGAGGTGAAAGTAAGGTATGAAGTATTTTAAACAGAGATTTTATAAACTCTTTCTTCCACATTCCATTATATGAGACTAACTCTGAAGAAGTTACTAAGTACCCAACTTGTTTTAACATCTGCAACTATACAAAAAATGTATATATATATATATATATATATATATATATATATATATATATATATATATATATATATATATATATATATATATATATATATATAGGCCTCAGACGGAATAAGTGCGAGAGGAGGGAAAAGCTCACCTAAAACAAACATGGCAAGCCATGCGGGTTACTTCTCTAAACAGCTTTTTACTAGAGCTGTTTAGAGGAGTCCTGTCTTTTTTAGACAAGTTTTTTTTTAAGTTTCCACATTAGCTATCCATTTATTTATTAACAACTTTAATTATTTGATAAAAAGTTTGACAAACAAAGCGCTAAAAGTTTTTACTGTTAATAAAAAATATTTTATACTTGGAAGTTTATAATTTGGAAGATTCCACAAGAAAAGTGTTTATATAATAACAATTTTTTTGTAGAACATTAAATTGTGCATTATATTGTTTTATTTGGCCCAAATTTAGACCAACTTATACAATTCACAGGCTTTCCCGTAAGAGTCATGCAGTTGCAAGCCTTATATGACCACACATATAACACTTTCTTTTGACTTGGCTATGGCTCTTAGCAAGATTTGTCAACTAGCGCTTTAAAAAATGCGCTAAAAAAAACAAAGCAAACTTAAATTTGATATTTAATTCAATTGATTCCATAATTACAATTAAACTGTAATAAAATTTCCTGAGTACTTTATAGCAAAATAACAAAAAGTGATGATTGAAAAAAATATTCAGATTAGAGTTTAAAACAAAATGAATACAGAAGTATTCAAAAAATCATTACAGTTAATTTTATTGTGGAAATATAATTTTTAGTAAAAAATGATTAACATTACTAAACAAAATAATTTTTGCATAATTTTGTAAGCACATGCAAAAACCATGCTAAAAGATAATTACTTTTTTTAATAGCGTACTTAGTTGCTTTGCTTAAAAGTAACGCTATTAAAGAAGGTAATCATGGATCCGACCCTTGTATTAGCCTATTTATTCATGGGAGGGAACAATAAAATCAATTATTGAATAGAATGATTTAGTCTCTTTAATCACAAGATCTCATTCCTATTGGATTTTTACGGGAGGTATTAAAAGTAATGTCAAAAACTAATGCCTGATGATACAAACGATGTAGAAATAACTTATTAGTTTGTTGGATAAAAATTGACAACATTGCACGAGTTATTTAGAATGCGACAAATATGTATGACGGTTGTTGTTGCTAAGGGTGATTAAAAGACAAGTAAATTATAAACAAATCTAATATGATTTTATTTTAACTTTTTTGTAAACATAATAAATAGGAAGATAACATATAATTCAGGTAGATTTTGTTTTCAGTTTTCTCCCAATAGTAGTACTTAGATATCTTATATCATAAAGTACGATCATTCAAATAATTATGAACGGTACATATATATATATATATACATATATATATATATATATATATATATATATATATATATATATATATATATATATATATATATATATATATATATATATACACCCTACTCTTGCATAGTTGTCTTTAGGTTTTTACCATAAAATGTCAGTTTTATGTTTTTTTTAATGCTAAAGACCAGAAAAAATGTGTTTTTTTTAATTATTTGATAGACTGCCTGCCCAAACCAAACCATCACTCAATGTAGCAGCGCTCCCTTATGAGTCAGGCTATTTGTCAGTCAATGTAGCAGCACTCCGTTGCGAGTCAGGCTATTTATCAGTTGGTGTAGCAGCACTCCCTAGCGAGTCAGGCTATTTGTCAGTCAATGTAGCAGCACTTCGTTGTGAGTCATGCTATAAGATAGTCGATGTAGCAACACTCTGCACATGTTTTACAGTTAAAAAATAAAAATAAAAACATTAATAATATTTTAAAAATATTTAGAATGTTTTTAAAAACATTCTAGTCTTTTAACTTGTGGTTTTGTAGCTTAATTACTTCCTGCAATTAAATTAATGTGTTTTGACATAATCTAACCTTATTTTGTCACCTTAAAACCACAAACAAGCAAAGAGCCATTTTTTACCACAAACACGTTATCTTAGCCATAAAGTAAAGATATATATATATATATATATATATATATATATATATATATATATATATATATAAATATATATATATATATAGCTTTAATAAGAAGGCATAGCATTGACTGAGAAAATGATTTATGGCATTATTAATTTATTAGTTATTGTTATTTTTTGCAGTTATTAAGGCGCTACCAGAAGTCTTATTACCGCAGAAGAGCATTTAACAAAGAAGCTTAAGGGCTAGGGCCAGCATTAAACCTCTGACCTCTGGGTTATGAGCCAGATCTCTAACCACTGTGCCAGGGCTTTTTTCATAACGGGATATTTATAAGAAACTGATTTTTTATTTCAAAAACCCATCAGTTAACCCAATCTAATTAAAAATATTAGTTTTTCAAACTTTTCAATTGGCTCTCTTTTTAGTATTTTTTATTTTTTTTGTTGTTGCAATAATCATGCCTTTAAAAAAGCATTACATTTAATACTAAAATTTTGCTTTACCAAAAACAAATAATTGTTGTAATTTAAAATAACTTATAAAGTCAACAAGTTGCTAGCCAAAATCGAGCACTACAAAAAAAAATCAGTGATTGTTATGTAAAATAAATAAACAATCGCATTTTTTAAGCCAAAAAAGTCAATCTGAATACTTTTACTTATTCTATTCAGTATCTAAAAATGGAGAAAAAAATTAAGTGGTTTGTATTTATGAAAAAATTATACCTTTGTGAGAGCTTTAAATTGCTCATGTAAACCTTTTTTAGGGGAGTGTGGGCAAGAGGTAAAGCTCTTGTTTCCCGCAAATTTTTTATCATTAAAAAATTTGCAGTATTATTTTTTCATTCTTTAAAATTCTTTCTTTAATAATTTTTAACCAACCTGGATAAGAAGAGTCTGGTAACTAACAGATTTTTTGAGTAAGGTTAATTCAAACATTCTCATGATCAAATTGACAAAATCTTCTTTAGAGAGAAGTTCTTTGATAGGATTTGATATACACAAAGCACGAAAAAAACCAAAAAGTGAATGAGCTGATATTTTATCTCCTAAATACAAAAAACTAATTGTATAAGATATGACTAAAATTTCATAAATTTAGAAAAACGTCATAAATTAAGAAATGACAAAATCTCATAAATTAAGAAATAGAAAATTTTAAATTAAACACTTTTTGAGATCTTTGCCAATTTGTTTAACTTATTGGTGTGGTAATAGACTTAATAAATTAGGTGATTGCAATGGATGTTTGACTCCATAAAAAATGCATGGGTCCCATATATCAAATGCAATCAATAAATGAAAGATATTGTATTAAACATATAACTAAACATATACAAATATTAACAACAATTTTACCCAAACTGCACGATTCATGTTCTACAATTTCCTTAAGTAGTTCTATTATAAAATTTGCTATAAGACATACACTGCTAGATAAAAATTGGTTTTGAAGAAGAGCAGCTTTTGAAAGCATCACTATAAGCATTGATTGTAATGAATCTTTTACTGCAATCACAGGAATTATGGGTGGAAGTTTCTTGGCTAAAAATATGCAAAATTATTTAATAAAGCACAAAAATAAAATTATATTTACAAAACTAGACAAACAAAAGTACACAAATACATATAGGTTTTAACTAATGTTAAAACAGTAATGAAAGTAATTGTAGCAACAATGAAAAAAATCAGAGATTTAAAATCACTATTGCAAAGTTATTATTATAGTCTTTATTATTATTATAGTCTTTAAATACTCTTTATTTTTATATAAAATTATTATATTTTTTTATGTTTAGTTAATACAAACAATTTCATTACCAGTGTAGTGGAATAGCAGTCAATTTTTTGTTCAATTTCGACTATTTTTATTTTATAAGAAACAACAGTTTTAAATACTAGCACTTTGGTTTTTAAACCATTGTTTTCTTTAATAATTATTTTAAAAATACACTCCTATTTTTTATTTATTTTCTCAATTAATTAATAAAAGATTATCAAGAAATTTATTCAACATTCTAAAGGCAATTAAAAATTTAGGACAGAATAATGGTTTAAGTGAAGATTAGAAATCTATCTAAAGATTTGAAGTATTAAGCGAAGATTTGAAGTATTAAGCGAAGATTTGAAGTATTAAGCAAAGATTTGAAGCATTAAGCGAAAATTTGAAGTATTAAGCGAAGATTTGAAGTATTAAGCCAAGATTAGAAGTTTAGGGAGAAAAAAGCTTTTAGTTTTAAGCAACAACTCGAATAAGTATTTTATTGAAACTTGAAAAATAAAGCATAGCCAGGAAAAAATTAACTCAACTTTAAGAACATTTAACTAACAAAAAATATTTATTAAAGTTATTTTTACACACAGAGTACTCATTGATTTATATTTAAAGTATTTGATTTCCTTTCCTCAAGCAAGACTCAAAACTTTTGACTTGACATTTTTCGTCAAATTTTGCACAGTGCTATAAGGAATCTTACCACAAACATTTTTCCATTTTTTACCAGCACCGACTCTGTATTGAGTTTACTTTGTGCTTTATTTAACTCAAGCTTACAAATTACCCAAAATATTTCTATAGGATGTATTTGTGGATAATTTGGTGGGTTGTGATCTTTAGGTATAACTTTAATTTTAAAAATTTAAATTCAAATTTATTAAACTCAAATTTAAAAATTTAAATTTATTTATTTAATTAAATGACAAGTTTATAATTATTTTAAATTTTAAAATAATTATAAATTTTATAATAATTATAAATTTGACTTTCAAAGGGTTACTTGTTTATATAGTGTTATTTTTATTTGGTTATTATACATTTTATAAAAGGTAATATATAGAGGCATTCTTCTACATTAAATGAATTAGAGAAGGTAAAACCCAAATATAACATAATGTTTATAACTCAAGTTTAAGTTATTTGAAAGAATTTTTACGTATTGATGCCATTTATTACAGACACATTTATTAACATATCGATATCATCTATTAACAAGTTTTTGTTTTTTATAAGAGTATTTTGAGAATGTTTTAGAGAAAACAATTATCACATTATAACATATGTTGAAAGTTTTCAAAACAAATGTTTAAAAACAATGTTTTTTTGTTGTTACAAACATTTTCTTGTAATGCTAAAGATTGTTCAAAGAACCATTAAAACAAAACCAAAAGCATCCAATGTCTTTGTTTTAGATTTTACACAATAAATGTAACATACACATTTCCTTTCAATTCCTTTCTAATACTAGTATTGCGCTACTATATTTCAATAATATTGAAATGTTATTGATGGTCTATTTTGTTTTGGATAACTTAGTACAAACTTTAATATTTCTTTTTGTTAGTAAACCATTTCAAATGTCTGCTATTCCAGAAGTCACAGGAGTATATCATTAATTTTGTGGGTAAAAGCACAGCTGTTTCATGCAATGGATGAACTCAATTTAAATTTTATAAAAATAATTTTGAACTAATAAATTATTAACTTAACATTAAGGCAATATGGGTCTATAGAGCAATGTGATTCATCAGTTTTTTTGAAGAACCTCTTAAGTGAAAAGAATGTTTTTCCCAGTGTTTCTTCATAGTTAAAAGAGCTCTAAACTTGCTTTACCATCTTATTAAATTTTCTTTACCAGCGAAGAAGATCAGCTTGCAAGATAATACTTAAAATATATAATACTTTAATACACAAAATCTTTAATTCAAAATGAAGTAACTATCTTAACAGAAACTTATACTAACAATTTTTAACTTCAAATAAGGGTATATAAAATGGGCTCTAAATAGAAAAAAAAAAGGTAAATCCGTATAAAAAAATTACTTGATAAGTAGATCCAGGAGATTTACAAACCAAAATATGCATAGTTTATTTTAAATTTAGTCAGGTGGGGTAACCTAAAAGGGACCTATTTATTAATATTTATTGAAAAATGACTTTATAAAAGAGCTACTTTTTAACTCTCATTGCATTTTATTACTCGTAGTTTTTTGCTTTATAACTATGAGAAATAAAAAAAAATTTCTCCCATATTCCGGCAATGTTAAAATTAAATGTTAAAAGTTTTCTCTTAATTTTAAATGTTAAAAGTTCTCTCTGTAATGAACTTTTGCATTTAAAGCATTGAAGTGTGATGTTTAAACTTTTAATCAAATAATTTACAAAACACCACAAAAAGTTAAATAGTATAAATTAGGGTATAACTTTAAAAATTGTGAATGATTTTTTTATGACATTCACTAAAAATGATTTTAAACCATAATTTTAAGATTTTTTTCAAAATAAAGAACACTTTGTTACATGTATTTCAGTTAATAGCAATAAAAGATTACTTTACTCTATCCTAAACTTAATTTCAAAAAACTAAAAGTTATAATTTGTTCAAGAAGAAAAAAATATTAATAAATAAACATTTTCATAAAGTACAGTTTAGTTTCAAATTAATTATCTGTTAATTTATCTTCAAAGAACTATAACAATTTACACTTCTAAAACATTTTAAAACTTCTGTTTCTAAAATTTTAAGCAGTGCTAATGTGAATCAAATGTTAATTTAAAAAACAAAAATTAAAAATTCATATTTTAATAAAATTTATTTTTATTACCTTTATCTATATACTGATGTTGTTCTGTGGAATACTGAAGATCATACTTTCCATCTTTTCCCATACGATATGAATTTGTTATACCACCATCCCAACGCACACGCACCCAACCATCAGTACCAATATCACTAACAACAACTCCTTCGCTCGGACTCTGACCATCCTAAATTTTTATAATACATAAACTATATCATACTACAAAATTTGCTTATGCTGTTACAATTATAAACATTGAAACATGTTTGTTACATTGTTTATAATTGTGCAGGGGGTAATGAAGCAAATTAGTGCATTCTAATTGTGTACATAGATCTAGCCACTAATAATGAAAAATATAAATACATCATACTGAAAAAGCCACTTGGCTTAAGTTATTACATCTATTGAAGGTAGATTTATAACTGAAGTTATAAGGCAGACATGAAAATTATTTTAAAAATATATATATTTTTAATTATTCTTTGTTTTCATAATCATCTGAAAAAGTTGGTTATTGCCAACACATCAAAAAATTAAAGCGAACAGAAAATATTAATGTTAATAAATGCATACTTAGCCAAGTATGATGACTTAAAAATATCATACTAAAACAACCATAGACAGGGGCTTAACACTTACATTTTAAGCAGATGTAAACTGCATTCACCTACTTTCGTGCAGAAAGTCTTTAAAAAAAATTTGAAGTAAAAATAATATCTCTGTTAACCAGTCTAACATCCTTTTTTCATCTTATAGATAAGTGTAAGTGTAAATCTGTCTACATTGTTTCCTACCTCAGGGTATTAGCTAGAAGTAGTTTTTTTTACCATGTTTTTGCTATATTGGGAATATTTCTTTTTATTGTTCTACAAAATATTCTACAAGAATTTTTTTTTTATTGTCCTATTACTTTAAAAAAAAAAAAATTAAAAAAATCATTTTATTGTTGGGAATTTTAAACCTATTGGGAATTTTGCGTTATATGTGGTACTGATGGTTAACACCCTGTACCTGGGTTAACAGGGTTGGTTAACACCCTGTACCTGGATAATAATTGGAGAATCATTATGAAACTAATAATTAGCTTTTAATTGTGACTCTTTTGAAGTTGCTGCATAATTACTTCTGTTATCAACTAATGAAAGTACAGCTCCAAAACTCAGTTTAATGGTTCAGAGGATAGCAGTTTACCTAAAATTTATACTTGCTCTCAGAGAGGTTAACTCCATTAACAGCTAAGATATCATAGTATTAACAGGCCCATGTTGCACATGAATGGTATCCCTAGGGCTTTTGTTGTGCATTTTCAAAGTTACAAAATAAGCAAAACTTAGGTAGAATGAGGTAACTGTATTGCTTATTGCTGGTGCTAAAGTTGCCAAGTACTACTTATGTTTGAGTTTCTACCAAATAATCTAAGCCATGAATATCATACCAAAAATTAAAATTAAATTAAAAAACATTACTATATACATTACACAAATGTTGCCCTTAAATTATTTCAATCAATCTTTTACAAATATTATTGGTGTTTTTTAAGCAGTCTTTCTAACTTAACTTGAAAAACAAGTTAATTTATTTCTAGACATCTTAATCACTCTGACTTCTGTTCCTAAACTTTTTTTTCACTTATCTACAACTTAAGGTTGGAACAACAATCCTGTCATAGTTTTCTTTAAAAACTTTTACAAAGATAATAATAAAAAAATTATCTTAATTTTAAACTCTAAAAAGTGGTGACCATCAGATGACCATCAAATTACAGATAATCAACGTCCAAATTATCTACTTAGTACTATTAATCTGACTGTCAGATTACAGATAATTATCGTTCAATCTATTTAATATTATTAACAATCTCTTTGACTCTTTAACAAACTAACTTTTAATATCTCATCCAATAATTTATTACATAACAATCAATATGGACTCAATCCTCACATTCTATTTTTGATTTATCAATCATAATAACAGAAAGACTTGCATTAAAAAAAACGATGATGTAAGTTGTTAGAACTAAAATGAGATAAAAGTTTGTTAGGAGAAGATTAAAAATCTCTCTCTCTCTCTCTCTTTATATATATATATATATATATATATATATATATATATATATATATATATATATATATATATATATATATATATATATATATATATATATATATATATATATATATATATATATATATATATATATAAATAAAACCGCTTGTTTGTTTATCAGAATTTATTTATTTCATTTTTTATGTATTTAATGTAATATCTTAAATAAAAATCATTAACAATTTATTGATAGATTTTATCAGTTATCAATGAGATATTATTTGTAAACAATATTAATAATATTTTAACGATATTAAAATTAATTTAAATATTCTAAAGTTTTTGCTCAACATAAAACTGCTTTATAGTCAACATAAAAACACGTATGGCATTAAACTGCCAATCTAAATATATGATCTAAATATTAGTTAAAAATTTCAACTTAATATTTTCAATAAATGCTTTAGCTAAATATATTTAATATATATTTATACTAAAATAATTAGATACAAAAATTATTAGATATTTAAAAAGTTAAAATAGTAAAAATTTAAATAAAATAAAAGCTGTTTGCTACTTACCTAAAAGCTTAGCTTTAAATTAAAAATTTTGAGAACAATTCGAAAGAATTAGGCTTTAACTTTAATAATATATTCTGACCAATCATAAATATTTACAATTTAAAAAAAAAAAAACATTCAGCTTTTAAATGATTATTATAAATGATTTTACTAATTAAAAAAACAATTAAATAAGTTTTTACTTGGTCATCCCATATCCAGTCTAATCCTCTCACAACACGACTACCAACATGCATACTAGAAGCCAATTCTTTTTCTTTGAATTGATTTCTGCTGCTATCAAAGTAGTTGTCTTCATGTGAGGATATAAGAATGTTGGTATCTGTTGATAGTTTAAATAATGCTAAAACTGTTCTAATCTTCTCTAGCAAACCACACTGTATGAGGATGTCTACATCTCCTAAAATTATATGCATACATATATCTGAAAGTGTTTGAGTACTTCAAAAAATTGCCGACCTTGTTTTTATGTTTTATGGTCAGACCTTTGTATCAAATAATTTTTGCCGACCTAATGCTGACTTAAAAAAGATTGAGGTTGGCATATTATTGCCAACCTCATTTTCCTTAATTCTGAGGGTCAATATATATATATATATATATATATATATATATATATATATATATATATAAACACACACACACACACATATAAATGCTTATATCTATATCTATCTATCTATCTATCTATCTATCTATCTATCTATCTATATATATATATATATATATATATATATATATATATATATATATATATATATATATATATATATATATATGTATATATCTTATACTGCTGAGTTAGGTGAGCATGATGATGTCATACTCACCTAATGTCAAATAGCCTGCTGCCGGGGGCTTCAGTACATACATCGACTGACAAATAGCCTGACTCGCCGTGGATTGCTGCTACATCGACTGAGGGTTTGGTACAGGTCAGCAACATTTTCATTCATTATTCTTCGTTTTCCCTCATTGTTTTCTAAAAATGCTCACTTAATTTAGGCTAGCAAAAAAAGTGAGCAATTGCGCATATAAATATGCTATAGTAGATATATATATATATAATAAAAGCATTAAAACATCATATACGATATCATACAATTTATTTCTTTTTTTATGTGATATTTTGGCTCATATAGCAAGAGCCATTATCAAACTAATAAAATCATTAAAAAAACTGTTTAAAAATTATTAAAGGCAAAACAAAATAATTTCATTACAATGTCAGATATTCAACATTTTTTCATTTAACAAAAAGTGGTTTCCTATGGTGAATCATCACTAAACTGCCATTGTTACGATATAAGATGTTTTCTTTAGATTTTAAAAATTACACTTAACAAATTTTTGTTAATGCAATGTTCAATGTTGAGTTAGGCATGCTAATGTGTAGGAAAAAATGTATTCTGCTTAATGCACTAATGGTGTAACTTCTAGTTACCATAGCAACTGCAGCATTTACTACTACAACGCTACTGATTTTCAAATAACATTTGTAGCAAAACCTTTACAAAATTTCAAAATAAGAATAATGTGACTAACACCACTTGTGCTTTAATATGCTTATAATATATACAATAATAATTATATATATATATATATATATATATATATATATATATATATATATATATATATATATATATATATATATATATATATATATATATATATATATATATATATATATATATATATATATATATATATATAATTTTACTTAAAATAAAACTAACCTGACATTAATGATGAACATAACAAAGTAATAGATGTAATAATGTAACTCCAACAAGAATCATTAAAATCTGCATCTTTTATACCTTGTTCTTCAGAATGGTTATCTATCACTCTTTCTAAACCTTTAAGTAGATACTTGATAACATAGTTTTCAAATCCTTTGTACACCTCTTTTAACTTAATAACATCATCACTTGGAACAAGCTCAATATGATTAAGAATGTCAGGTTTGGTATTACTAAAAATTTATAAAATACTAATATAAAAAACTGTATTGTAAAGCTAGTTAACTATATTACACTTGTTCAAACAATATAAAAAGTAAATAGGAGCAGAAAAAAAAAGTTTAATCTTTATCAGATGTTTACAACAGTAATTCAAAACGAACAAAAAATTCCTTTGAAACATTTGATATCCATTTGATGATCTTGTATAACATTTGATGATGATGCCAATCGTCAAATATTTGAGATATTGAAGTATTAGAATATTTATTTAAAATAAAAATTAAAAAGTTTCTCGTTTTTGTCATGGTTTTATAGTTTCACATTTAGTTTGTTTACATGCTTTATTTAAACTTTGAAAAAAATATATACAATAATTGGTATTTATTAATAAATAATAAATAATAAAAAAAATCTTTATCTAAAATAAAAATCTTTTTCATTTAAATAAAAAAGCATCAAGATTACTATGATTAAAACTAAGATAACCGAGATAAAAACTCAGATAACTAAGATAAAAACTCTGATAACTGAGATAAAAACTCAGATAACTGAGATAAAAACTCAGATAACTGAGATAAAAACTCAGATAACTGAGCTAGATAACTCACTAAGTCCTGTTTACATGGTATATTATATATACTATTTTTATTATAAGTATATTATACAGACATTGATATAATAATATCAAAACAAAATAAGGTACTATAAATATATTACCTAGATCATAGTCATATTATTTAATTAGTCTGAAAATGCGGGCCGTAATAATAATTGTTGTGCAAAAATTTTTTTCTATTTTAATTATTAAGTACTAAAACATTATTTCAAAAATAAAGTATACTAGCTATTTTACTATACTATTTTTAAATACTTTAAAAATAGCTTCTAAAACTAAAATCACAGCTTCTAAAACTAAAATTTAAAAGCTTGATTATTACTTTTTGTTTTTATTATGCTTTATGTATTGGAATGCGTATAATAGCAAATAAAGTTATTATGTTTGATGCAAAAAAGATAATGCGAAAAAGTCTGCCAACAAAAATTGTCACTAAAGTACTTAATCAAACAGGATTTAATTGAAAAAAAAAAAAAGCAGTGTATTAAAAAAAGATTAAGAATTCTATTTTAAAATCTTTGTATTTAATACTAAATCATTGCTAAAACTAAGTTTTAGCAATGATTTAGTATTAAATACAGAAAAATGTCTCACCTTTTATAAATTTATTTTGCGAGAAACAACAAAAACACTTAAGGTTATCATCTTTAACTAAAATATAATATCCCATGATAACTTTCTAGTTTCAAAGTCTGTTGCAGTGAAAGATGATATACTTAACTAATTTAGTTGACTTTACCACAACTGGTGGGATTGCACAACAAATTTTTCTTTTACTTTATAAAGCAATCAAAATTTGTTAACTAAACACCTTATAAGTTATTGCTTGTAACTTGTAATCGAGTTTTTACAAATTGTAAGTTGTTTAAAATGCATTTTAAATGATTCATTTATACCTGATCTACCACATTTAAATGTTATTTATCCATTTTAAAACATACAGATAAAAAAAAGATATACCTATGATATATATAATGATATATATTTGTAGTAACTAAAGATGTAATATATTTAGCTACACAGGTAATATAAAGTATTGTATTATAGTAATATAGTAGTGAGCCATGCGAAGAAGAAAAAAAGAAGTCAAGTAAAAACTGTTTGCATTATTTACAAAATAATATTAGATTTGTTCAAAACTAAAAACATATATATATTTTTATATAATATATGTAAAATATTAATGGCGTCAATAATATTTTAAAATTGATAAGACAATTATATCACTTTTATTAATCAATCTTGTATTACTGTTTTATTATAAAGTTACTAAACCATAAAACTATTAAATATACATTAAGTATTTATTTTCAAAATATTATTGGTATATTATTAACTTCAGAAGTTAATAATATACCAATAATATTTTAAAAAAATATGTGGCTATGAGAATAGCTGTTTTAGTAGGTTGAAGTCATTTTGCTTCCTCTTTCATATCCTTGTTTTAAAATTGAAGGCGTTTTTTAATTGATGTTCTTTATATATCAATTTTGTTTGACTTTTTTTAAATTTTGAAAGCTTTTCAAATTATCTTTTGCAAAATAAAATCTACAAACTTGTATATACAGTGTTAGACAATCATACACACTTAGCAGTAAGCAAATATGATAAATACTGCTTATGATAAATGTTAGAAAATGAATACTGTTCATGATACATGAACTGAAACTAATTGTTGTATGAGGTACAAAAAAACATTGTCATAATAGAATATTTTGTTTATTAATGTATTGGGATACATGCTTAAACATTATAATATCATTGATAAAAGAGGTACCAGTCAGATAAAAAAGATAAAATTTGCTATTTCAAAACTTCAAAACTTAAAAAAAATGTACAATTTTGGCTAAGATTATAAAAAGAACTTTTTCTTTCAGAAAATTTTGTAGAATCTGCAGTAAAAAATTTCGGATAATTCTTTCAAACAAATTAGTATTTTTTTTACTAGAGACTAAGCTGTAACAACTTTTTTTTGAAATGCTTGAAATATTAATACTAGATTTTAAATTTTTAAATTCAACTTATAGCAGGGTACCATTTATCTGTGGCAAGCTTTTCTGTAATCTAAACTAAATAATTTAAAAACCTTAAAAGATAAATAAACTTTTGCTTTCTTTTCTTCTTTACTAAATTGTTTATCAGTATCTTGTCCTTTTGTTTGGTGTTGAGGTGACAATTCACTTTGCGATTTACATTGTTCCTTGCAAAATAAACACATAAACTTTTTTCACTTTGGCTAGAATAAAATAAATTTTACAACCTAATATTTCAACTTAAGTTGAGATCTGTTTCCAACAAATAGAAACTCAATAGCAGCTAAAACAACATTGAATTCATTCAAATTATCACAGCCTGCGCCAAAAAAAATTTATTTTAAAAATGTTTGATGTTATTTAAAAATATTCTCAGTCCAGTAAAACCATAAAGTTTAAGTTATTTTACAAAATCTATAGAAAACGGCCCACGTTTCCAGGCTAGTATCCAGGCTAGTTAAATACTATGACTATAACCAAATAAGTTAGTAAAAAAAAGTAACAATCTTCACTTTTTTCACTCTCGCTTTTCTTTTTCTACTAATTTTTCTATTGGGAACATTACTTAAGAAAAACACCTTTCGTTGAAAAAACGAAAACCCTTTTTTTAACTGCAGCCCCACACTTGTTTAATTAATTAATTATAAACAAACCTCACAGAGCCACCTGGTGAAAAAACACAAAGCCAACCAAACATCATAGCAAGTTGAACATGAGCTTTAAGATGTTGTCGAATACATAAAGACTGCATCAAGTATCCTGCAATTAATCTATGTTTAGCACGCTTGACCTAAAAAAAACTTCAGCTATAATTTTAATCTATTAATTTATCCAAGATTTATGTTGAAATAATGTACATTTTATCTATTACCTGAACAAGAAAACATTTTCGAAGCACATCCAAATTCGCTTCATCTTCCTGAATAAACTTACAGATATCTTTCACAATTTCTTCGCTGTTGTAAATTGATAAACACTTGTTTGCACTTGACCATTTTAAAATGTCCCAATTATAACCAAGCTTTGCTTTAATTGTATAGACACAATGTAGCCATAATGATTTAATTTGAGCTACAGGAACAACACAAGGGTTTAAACTTGTACAAAGAAACTTACACCGAGTAATGATTGGAGTACAAATTTCTGAATATGATTTACCAGATTCTTGTCGTTTCTATAAAATTATTGTTTTCTTATTTTAATGTAGTATTCACTTAAATACTCATAAAATACTTTTTTGATATGCTAAAATTGAAACTCAAAGCTACAGGAACAACACAAAACATTACAGCAAAGTAGTTTTATGGCATAAAGTGCTTGTTTCTCACTATGAGCAAACATGATTTTAGACCCTAACCTCCGATGGGTCTAAAAGCTGTTTGCAACTTGAGTGACACAGACTTAACTTCCCAAAAGGTAAGCCCTGATGGGCTTCTTTTTATTTACTAGTATAATAAAAAGAATAAGCCCATCAAGTTTTGGTTAATTTTTTAAAAGCATTTATAAAATAAAGTTTATTGAAAAGTTACACTTTAGTTGAAATGTTAAAAACACTTTATTAAAATAGTAACTTTTATAAAGAGCAACTTTTATAATAGTCTATATTTTCAATAACTTTTATTAACTACTTTATTGAAAATATAAAAAAAGGATTCTTATATTTATCATAATTTAAACACCTATACAGAAATACATATAATATATATATATATATATATATATATATATATATATATATATATATATATATATATATATATATATATATATATATATATATATATATATATATATATATATATATATATATATATATATATATATATATATATATATATATATATATATATATATATATATATATATATATATATATATATATATATATATATATATATAAAAAGGATCAATAAACTTTTTTCCAAAAAAAAAAACTTGCTTGCATGACAACTAGTTTCTGTTTGTGGACAGCTTTAATGATGCTTTTCATATCTTTTGAAGGCTTAGGACTCTTTTCACTTAGAAGTTCAAGTGTGATTTGCAACATTTCCTCTTCTGAATAATAAATGTTATAAAAATCACAATTATAAACAAGGTTATTTTTTAAATAGAACTTAAAAAAAATAAACAAAATAAACCTAAAATATAATTTAAAAATTGAAAATAAAATTTAAAAATAATTTGACATAAATAATAGCAAAAAAAAAAAAGCAACAAAGTAGATTTTATAGACAAAATTTGCTAAGAAACTGCATGCATTGAACTTTTTTCTACGTGCAGTTTTAAACTGATTAATCATAATACCTAGACCACAATGCCGTATTAGAGCTGCAAGATGTGATCTCATCATTGTTTCCATACACAAAGGATAATTGATCATACTAGACTGAGATGAAGGCTGACAAGTATTCAATAAAAATTCTGTCAACAAATTTACTTCATATGAAGGATCTTTTTGCAATAGTTTATGAACAGAAAACCTTCTTTCATTAAGCAGTTCCCTTAATGTAAATTAATATATATATATATATATATATATATATATATATATATATATATATATATATATATATATATATATATATATAACACATATTTAAAATAATAGCAATTGATAAAAAAAAATAAAAAAAATAAACAACAACTAAAAGAAACAAAAAACTCAAAAGAAAAAAAAAAAAGATAAAAACATTAATTATAAAAATTGTATTAATAATAGTAAATTTGCCAATATAATTTATTTGCCGGGACAAATTAATTGTTTCTGATGTTCGAGGGAAAAAAACTAGATGAATAAGAATTTTCGGAACACTTAGGTCACAGTAAAAGGATTAGACTTGATAGAATGACGAATAACTCGAGAATGAATTTTAGTAGTTGGCCCATTTTAGTATTTATAGAAAAGAGAAAGAGAAGCAAAATTACGACGATGTGATAATGGTTGGAGGTTGGCTTTAAGCGCAGGTCCTTTTTGCACCTTGTCTAAAAGAGATAAGGCATCATTGGAAGATCTCCCCCCCCATATGACAACAGTATTCCATACAAGGACTGATTTGAGATTTATAGAGATAAAGAATAGAAACCTGAGTGAACAGGATAAAGAGATGCAACCTTGGTAGATGCTAATTTGTCAATTGATTTCAAAATTAGCATCTGTTAAGCAAATTGATTCTTACACAACAATTTATTTGAAACTTATTTTACTTTGCAATTCATTTTTATTTTATATGCTTTGTTATGGTAACACATGTTTATCTATTTACTTATTAGCACTTAACAATAAACTTTGTATTTTATATTGCTTAAGTGCTTATGACAACAGTATTCCATACAAGGACTGATTTGAGATTTATAGAGATAAAGAATAGAAACCTGAGTGAACAGGATAAAGAGATGCAACCTTGGTAGATGCTAATTTGTCAATTGATTTCAAAATTAGCATCTGTTAAGCAAATTGATTCTTACACAACAATTTATTTGAAACTTATTTTACTTTGCAATTCATTTTTATTTTATATGCTTTGTTATGGTAACACATGTTTATCTATTTACTTATTAGTACTTAACAATAAACTTTGTATTTTATATTGCTTAAGTGCTTTGTCTGTTTTTGCTATTTTTTAGTCTTGATTTTTGTCTTAAAAAATAAATTTGCTTTGTTTGAAAACTAATTCTTTCTTATAATTACTCGTTTCATTTTTTTCCTACACTTCCAATCCTCATGTGTGACCATTTGGTGACTAAAATTTTAAATTACAAAAGTTATAAAAAAATCTGTCAATAATATATATTTACTAGATATCTAACTTACACTGTCTTAGTAAAGCTATTTTTGCCAGCAAAAGTTGTTTTGCCAGAATTAACAAAATGTCAGAAATGACAGAATGTCAGAAATAACAGGAAGCCAGAAATGACAGAATGTCAGAAATAATAGAATTTCAGAAATAACAGAATGTTAGAATTGACAGAATGTCAGAAATGACAAAATGCCAAAATTGACAGTATGTCAGAAATGACAGAATCTCAAAAAAAAAAAAAAAAAATGATAGAGATTTTTTTCTGTTAAAGTGAAAAAAAGTTGCTAAAATTGTAATAATTATGTGAAACCGTTTAGTATTTGAAATTTTTTTAATTCTAGGTTAAATATATTATCAGTTAGTTTTGATTTTGAACATTTTTGGAAATTTTCTTTGGAAAAACTTAATTATTATCCAGTAATGATGTAATAGAGATCATAAATAAAGAGTTAACAGATGATCCAAATGCTAAAAAAGTCTCCACATGAAATTTTACTCAGAAAAAAGATAAAAGAAATGCTGAATAAAATAGGGTTATAGTTGATCTAAAGAAGTTTCTAAAGTTTCTATAGCTACTATAGACATTTCTAGAGTCAATAAAAAGGTTTCTAAATTGTCTATAGCTACTAAAGAAGTTTTTACAGTTACAAAAGAGATTTATGAAGTTTCTATAGTTACTGAAGAGGATTCTGAAGTTTCTATAGTTACTAAAGAGTTTTCTGAAGTTTCTATAGCTACTAAAGAGGTTTCTGAAGTTTCAATAGTTACTAAAATGTTTCTGAATTTTCTATAGATACTTAAGATGTTATCAAGGCCTCTATAGTCACCATAGAGATTTCTAAAGTTTCTATAGATATTAATAGTTATTAAAAAGGTTGTTGAAAAAATTTCACTACTTTTTAACAACATTTTTTTATAAAAATACTGCATTTTCATATACCAAGCATATGTGAATTTGTTAAAACTACTTTCTGTACAAGACATCTTACTACAGGTAAGATAATAGGTCATTGACTGGTCCAACCAAGAGGGTATGAGGGTTCTTGGTATGACTTTTTTTAGCAATTTAAAAAAGACAGCCGAATTCAACTTTAACTAAGCTGTCGAGAAATTCATTAAAACTTTAAAAAATTTTAAATATAGAAACGCTTCATTAAAATGTAGGGGGATGTTTGTGAACAGGTACAGGTAATAGTAAGATCTCTTCAAAAAAGAGATCTTACTATTACCTGTAGTAAGATCTCTTTTTTGAAGATGTACTTAAGTACTTTTGAAAAAAAAAGACCTTAAAGGATTTGAGTTAAAGAGCAAGCTCCTTTTAACAGCAACTATGATAGTATTTGTAATAAAGGAAAAGAGATGCAACTTAGCAACAATAAGAGAGAGGTACTTTAGCTTGGCAGATAAAGCAGGTCCAACTATGTTTACAATGCATTTTGGATCTTGTATAAAAGGGAAAGAGCATAATTAGAAAAACTAAATATGACAACAGTTTTACAACATAGATCTTATCTATGTTGTAAAACTGTTGCAACTAACTCATAAGTTACCTTACTAATTACTTTAAACCATAGCTTTCCATATTTAAGTGAAAAAAAGAACAAAATATTCTGATGAGTATGAATGTAAAGTTTCAAAAGATTTGTCTACGATATATCTTACAAGAGTGTCTTGTAAAGGAAGATATTTTTTTATGAAGCAAAATAAAGATGCATATTTTTTTAGATGAGTAAAATAATTTTAGAGCACAATAAATAGTAAATATATAAAAGCTTCGAGAGATTTTAGCAATGTGTTTAAAAAATTAAACCCAAAAAACTTTGATATTGAAAGATTTATACAAAGTTTCAGAGATCTTGGCTCAAACCTTATTATTATAGTTCATATAGTGGAGCAGCATTGAGAAGTTTTTACAGGAATACAGTGTCTATGCCACTGTATTCCTGTAAAATTGCCATAACCCTCTCCATAAAAAAACATAGTACAAATCAAACAACTGAACAAACTATATATTGCTATTTGATTCTCTTGCTAGGATCTAAAGGTGGGTCAGAGGGGGTCTAATCATTTGTTAAAACAAGTCCTGCAAGTGAATTTTCTCAAAAAGCTGCCTACAAATTATTTAAATTTTGATAGTTTTATAATGTGCAAATGAACTGTTTTCAAAATAAAATAAAAAGTTTCATTGGAAAAGATATAAGGTGTTAGGTTACTTTCAGTGTATCTGTGCTAACAATCAGTTAACCTGTTCAAGTGGAATGGCAGGAAAAGTATGGCCATAAGATTCAAGAGTCAAATTAGAAGAAAAATTATTTGTAAATAGTTCTGCCTTATCCTTGGCAGAGTGTAATATTCATGCTGTGTTATATGGGCATCTTTGATGATGAACAAAATCAATATATCAAGACCAAATTAAAGTATTGCACAAACTACAAGCAGAAGAATTTAAATTTGAAAATAAACTTAGCATTTACCGTATTCATATTCATAAATAAAAATAATAATATTTATTTGTAGCTCAAACACTAAGTGACATTATGTTTTTTGATGTTTTTAGTTCATCTAATTTTCATAGATAAGCAAGAAGCAAATTTAATTAGAAATTTAGACTTTTTTTTTTTGTTAAACTCTAAAAAAAAAAAAAAAATTGAAAAAGGAAAAAGAAACCTTTATTTCTAAATAAAGTTCAAATTGGATTAAAATCTTCTTTAGCTAAGAAAAGAAACTTTTTATTGTAGCAGCCGTGCTGTATGCAATAGCATTGCGGAGCGTTTGCTTTGTAAGTGTGAAGTTCTGAATTTGATCACCACATTCTTGGTAAAAAGAAGTGAATACAGTTAAGAAAAAAAAAATTTATCACGTACAATTTTAGCAACTTTTTTTCACATTAACAGAAAAAAATCTCTATCATTTTTTTTTTTTGAGATTCTGTCATTTCTGATATTCTGTCAATTTTGGCATTTTGTCATTTATCAAAATAACACGATCAATAAGCAACGCTTTAAAAGTATATATTTATTATAAATAATATTTAAAAGTATATATTTATTAAAATAAAAAAGTAAATACTTATTTATAAGTATATAATTTGTAAGTGATAAGCGCATAAATTTATTATTCCAACTAGATAATTTGCAATGGAAAATACTATGCAGTTTCATTAAGTAAATATTAACCTCTCGACCAGAAGTATAATGGCAAAACAACAAGTGTTTTTTGTTAATATCTCAATAAATAAATAGTTTTTGTAACTTTAATAAAACTAAAAATTTATTTTTTAACGTTTATTCATAAATTAAACATAAGTCAGGGTTAAGAAATCCCTTTAAACTGTTTTATGGTTGAATTCACAGAAAAAAATGGTTTCAATAACAATTCAGTAGTTAAAATTTGCCTTAAAATAAACTTTGTTAAGAAACTTTTTGAAAGGATCAAAATCTAACAACTAACTTTTGACCAAAGATCTTCTGGATCTTTATATTAAAGCCAATAAAAGAAGATTGCCTTATATTTTAAAAATTACAGTATCTAGCAAGGATTCTAACTACATTAAAGCCTTTGCTGCTTCTCTTTCATTAGTCTTAACTTCGGTTTATAAAGAAGTGGTACTTGAATATATTTTTGTTATATTTGATGCAGGTAATCTGCAGTGCTTGAACTAGGCTGAGCAATGAAAGCCCACAAGAAATAAGAAACATATTATTAAAAAAACTTTTTGTATAAAGGAGGATAACTAATAAAAACAAAGAAAAACAAACAGATGTTCAGAATAAACACAGATTTGTTTTAAGAAAAAAAGCTTATATCAAATCATAGTCAGCAGTCATTTTATCATTAAAGTAAAACCATTAAACAAAACATAAGTAACCATAGGAACCAAAACATTAATAACCATAAATCTTCATTAAATACAAAAGTTTAACTTACTTCAAAATATATACAAATGCAAAGATATATCAATATTTAAAATCAATAAATATAAAATGATGGGAAATATTAAATCAAAAAAAAAAAAAAAAAAAGGTAGTGGTGGTAATAACCTTCTCTTCAGAATCGCATTTATTATTACCAGCATTTTAAATAGACTCAGCACCAATACCTAGTTTATCTCATCAGATAAACATCATCACTATTTATGCTTTACTCCGCAATTTACGCCTGCTCCATACTGCATTAAAATTTGTAAAGCACTAATATTTTTAATAAAATAATATGGAAAGTAAGAAATGTAAATTCAATATCAAATAACATAATAAAATAATTATATCAAAAAATTAATTATTATAACACAAAAATAAAAAATAAAATAAGCACTTAACACTGCACCATAACACTGGTCATAAAAATTGTCAAAAAAAATTAATAGAAAATAATAAACACTATAATGATAAGTTCTAATAGAAAAAACTATTATAAACACTAGACTACAAACATTGTAGTCTAGTGTTATATTTGTATAAATATTGTTATATTTATAACATTAAGTATTTAATAATAAAAATTTCATATTTTGGTGTTGTTAAACGCACAATAAAAAAAGAAAATTATAATAAACATAATAGTTCTATATATTCTATTAAATTATATATATTTAAGCAAAACTTAAAAAATCACTTCAAAACTTTTAAAAGAGCAAACAAACATTACTTCACTTTAATGATAATAAGGAAATTAAAAACACTTTTTGAAGAAAGCAACATTTTAGCATAGTTTCTTTTAAAGTAATTATAAATGCATTCATTTTAACTAAAATTTTGCATGCTTTTGTAAATGCATGTAAAAACCATGTTAATAGATAAATACTTTCTTCAGCTGCGTACTTAGTTATCAATCTTAAAAGTAATGCTATTGAAGAAAGTAATCATGTTGTAGCATGGTTTCTTTTAAAGTTGTTGAAAATGTGATTTTAATTTTAGTAACTAATTATTTTTTATCACAAATGTGTTTAATAACTATCAATTGCATAATTATTTGGAAAAAAAATTGCTGAATTAATGCATTCATTTTTAAAAATTTTAAGTGAACCCCAACATTTGCATAAAGAGAAGTAAGGAAATGTGACATTCGCTTTTCTATCTTTTTTTAAACAAACATTCACACATTCGTCGATTTGTCGCGTCCTGTATTAGAATGAGGTAAAACATTTAAACAAATATAAGGAAATCATTTTTATTACCAACCAAACCATTATATATATATATATACATATATATATATATATATATATATATATATATATATATATATATATATATATATATATATATATATATATATATATATATATATATATATATATATATATATATAATAAAACAACTGTGAAAAATTGCTTATATTGATTATAAATCTTATATTGATTTTGTGTTGGTAAAAATAACAGCAATTTTTCTAAGGTCTTGAGCTCTTTTATCAGGATAATGCTGTCAGATATAAGTTTGTTATACCTCAGGGCTTGATTAAAAATAATGTTAGATTTTAGGTGTAAAAGATGATTCGATTCATAGCGCAAAAAAGACAATGTATCTGTAGGTTTTCTAAAAATAGTTATATAGAATATTTTTATTATTAACTAAAATTAAAATTAAAAATTGAATAATCTTTCATGCTACTAAATGTTTTGTATGAACATATTATTTAATTTAATGATTATTTAGGAAAATAGTTCTTTTTATTACAAAATGTAATGCTAATTTGTTTATGCTTAAGTATGCTTTGTTAAACATAAAATCTTAAATACTTGCATGTTTAGTAGCATTTATTTAAAATTCAAATTAAAGAACTTTTATGTTGATTTTCATGACTATGTTTTTTATGCCATTCTTAATTAACATAAAATATCATAATTAACATAAAATATTACATTTGACATAAAATATCATAATTAATATAAAATATCATAATTAACATGAAATATCATAATTAACATAAAATACCATAACTAACATAAAATACCATAATCTAATAATTAAAGTTTGATAGAAAGATATGGAGAGGGAAGGAGTTTTTTTTGTCACAAAAAATTCAAGAGCAGCCAAAATTTTAATTAAAATTTTGGCTGCTCTTGAATTTTTAGTTAATTTCACTGTCATAAATATTTTATAAAAAAATAATAATAACATACTCGCTAAATATTGATTCTTTATTAAGTCCCGATGAGAAAAGTCTTGATTTAAGCCAATAATCATTAATTATCTCATCTGGAATCGGATAAAAGCCATGAGCAAGGTAAGCACAATGTAGCCCAAGAAGAAATGCTATATGATGTTCAATTTCTAAAAATAAATTCTCTGCATCGGATTTCTCCACATTGCTAATCTAAAATAATACAGCAAGATTCATCAACTTAAAGTTTATAGGAAGCGCAAAATGTATTATGTTATGAGACAAATAGACTTGAAATATCATGAATAAATAACAATTTTTTTTTTTAAAATGAGAATATTATGTTTACACATAGCCCTTATAATGATTCAAAAAAAAAAAAAAAAAAAAAAAAACTTACACATTTGCCATTCTTATTTATTGCTTTCAGCTCGCTTGAAACAGCAGAAAATGCAAGAGTAACTTCTTGTTCTAAACCAAAATAATGATACAATAACTGTTGTAGAACTGAATTTAAATGAATGAATGATAACAAATGATTGTATAAAGTTTTTTTAAAACTTTATATAAAAACATAATGATAAGAACAGTTACCGGCAAACCTCTCAACAAAACCTTTTTCAGATGATTTACACAAGTTGTCTTCTTTCTTTTCCTTTAAAGGATCAAGCATTGTGGCAGAATCTAAAATTATTTAAAAACAAAAAATTATACACCTTCCAGAGTTTTTCAAACGTAATGTAAATAAAAAAAAAATCTTACCAAAAAATACCGACCAACGACTTAGTGCAGATATCTTACAAGAACTGTTAAACACATTGTATGCATCAAGTAAATCAGCTAAATGAGACATTCCATCACAATTTGAGGTAATAACAGGTGCATAATTTTGAAGTATGATCATGTAAATAACAAATTCGTGGAATAGTGCACCAATAGGACTCAAAACATAATGTTCTAGTTTTGTCAAGTTAACTTGATTACTTGCCAGCATATTTTTGCAACAGGTCTGCAATTGCTGCATATAAAAACTTATCATGTTTGACAATGCTTTCACTGATGGTCCAAGCTCATATGCAAAACCTTGAACATAATAAAAAAAAATTATTTGAACTTAAAGCTCACTATACATGCTTATGCCTAACTAACAGTTAATTAATTAATTCAATATTAACAATAAACAAAAATACTTACATCTGGCTGGCCAGCATATGTCCGTATCATTTAACTTGAAAACTTTAGCAAACAACAGTCTTTGAAACTTCAATAAAACACCACTCACACCCAAGTAAACAGATGGTTTACTTTCTCCTACATTTTCACTTATATTTAATAGAGCTTGCACAAAGCAATAAAGCACCAGATCATTGTTATTTTTACCCCCAGCTTCAGAAATAATTTGCAAAGTATTTTCAATTAGTTCTTCAAGGCCATTATTTTGGAGAATACCTTTCATAAGAAGTTGTAACAAAAACTCATGTTTGAAACTTTTATCTGAAACATCTAAACAAAGTTTTTTTAATTATGTTATATTCACTATAAAAATATTCCGCTACTATTAAGCATATATCCACTAGCAGAAGCTATTTTAGCAAAATTATTTAGGCAGCAGCACATTCTGCCACATTTTTGTCACTTCTCCAAAAAACTTAATTACCACAGCTTATGTGGTTTAATTACCACAGCTTATGTGGTTTAATTACCACAGCTTATGTGGTTTAATTACCACAGCTTATGGGGTTTAATTACCACAGCTTATGTGGTTTAATTACCACAGCTTATGTGGTTTAATTTGTATCTAATATGTATTATAATCTTTAAAAATACTTTTTACAAAATTTTTTTTTAAATTAACATAATATTATTCTATATATTTAAGAATATTAGGAGAGTAAATATATTTCGAGAATAACTAGTTAAATGATTTATTTAAAGAACAAATTTACATATAAATTTAAAAAAAATGAAAAATCAGTTTAAATAATAAAAAATAGTAATAAAAAATAATAATCAGTTTAAATAATAAGAAATAATTACAAGCCTTCCCAGGAAATGCGTGAGTATTTTATTTTAGGCAACTTGGTCACAGTTGTTTACAAGTTTTATTATATTAAGTGTTGCTGAAAAAAGTTTTAAAAACAAGGAAAGCAAAACTAACAAAATAGGAAATTAAAATAATTTCGAATAGAAAAAAAAAATAATAATAATATTAATTTAAATAATTTGTGAACTATTTTTATTTTTGTTTCTTTAGAGTGGTTGTTATTTTCAGCAACAAAATATGATAAGTCAAAGCAAAAAAAAAAAACAAACAGTTTTAAACATTCAAAAGAATGATTTTCCTATACCTTAATTTTTTTTTTTAAAGAGGAAAGCAAAAATATAAACTGCCTGTGTATTCACAGAACATCTATGTATATTTTTATGTAAGTATATGTCTGTGTATGCTTTTAAAGCACGCATATATTTTTATTTATAACTTTTTGTATTGTGTAAGTATATTTATTTTCCCTAATGTATAGCTTATTTTGATAAGACATTAACTTCATATATGGAAAGTCTGTGGTTCGATTCCTATAACTGTCTAATTTTTTTTGTTTTCTTTTAAATACCGCTGATCATATGTTTGCTTTGTAACCATTTATCTTTTCTTATTTGTAAATAAAAAAATCTTTTTGTTGTATGTTTCTGAACGATACATATCTCATCACATTCACATTTCTTATACCATTTAAGCCTTTTTTAAATGAGGCACAAATGTATACATAGTTTTTAAGCTTTAATTAAGCCATGCTCTCTACACATAGCCTTAATTAACTCATATTACCTTTCTTTTCCATTAAGTTTTTTATCCCTAATCTTTATGCGGAGACAATTCTTTTTAACATTCGACTCAGTGAGTGGGTAAAAAAATAAAAAAAATTTAGGAAGAGGTGGGTCTTGAACCATAAACATTCTGTATATGAAGACAAAGCCTTATCCAAATAAACTAATCGTGCATATAAATAGGAACAAATAAATATACTTATATAATACAAAAAGTTATACATAAAAGTATAGGCATGCATTACATAGATGTTTTAATATAGGGACAATATATACTTGTTACATTAAAATTATACAAATATATTTTACAAACACATTACAATTTATGCTATCCTTTTTAAAAAAAAAAAAAAATTAAAGGAAAATCATTTTTTATGTAGACTATTTATATACTTCTAATGTAGACTTTTTATGTAGACTTAAAAGTGTCATTTTTTTTAGCTTTGCCTCATCTAATTTTGTTGCTAAAAACAACAACCACGCTAAAGAAACAAAATTATTATTTATCTGAATTTATTTTATTTAAATTTATTTTTATTTCCTATTTTGTTAGTTTTACTTTTTTTGTTTTTAAAACTTTTTTTCCGCAATGATTAATATTATAAAAATTGAAAACAGCCGCGACCAAGTTGTCTAAAATGAAATACTCATTGCGGTCATACAAGATGAAAAATCCTTTTTTTTATTACATTTGAAAAATATTTAGAGGTCCCCCAAGGGTCATAAAGTTTTAGCGATGTTGCGGAATTTTCGTTAATGGCATTTGACGGCTCGACATCATCAAGTTTACAGAATACAGATCACATGTCTAATCGATCATAAAAATATAGTAAAAATGATTAGTTCCTGGTAGAGTTTAGAATAAAATTGGTTTATAGCACATCTTTATATGATTTCAAGCACAAGCAAAGCCAATTTTAACTTTAAATATTTTAACACTTGGCAATAGAAAACGTAAATTTTTTATGCTCATTTGAACACAATTAAAAACAATAATTTATTATACAATATGGTAACAAGGTTTCAATTGTTCATTCTAAAATATGATAAATAACTTCTAAAATCTAAATGTCCACAAGATTGTCACGACTGCATTTGGAAAAGTCTTGCCTGTGTTTTTCAACAACCTGAAGTAGAAATTGTTTCTGTTCTTCATTCTTTGTTATTGCTGCATTAAAATTTTGGATGAGAGCAACGCCCCGCTCAGCACAATCATTAACACATGGCAAGTTATTAACAAGTTGACGTGCCATCTGATAGGAATGGTTTTCGTGCCACTCTTCCACTGGAATATCAAGAAAGCTATCATCAATGACAGTAACTAGGAAGAAACTTCAAGAAATGAGTAATTCTGCTGTTGTTTTTGGAAGAGACTTAAGCAAATGCGATACTCAATCACTTTTCATTGTCGACACAAGCTGGGTTTTTTCTTTAGAAGACATATGCTGAGAGAACAAGGAAACTGTTGCTAGCTCTTGGCTAAGGTACCAGGAGTGACGCTTCATTATCTTCAAACCTTTTGTCTGCAAAGCAGCATCTTCATATGTAAGCAGCCTTTGAATCAATAGAATGTCATTCAATGGTGCATAGCAATGGCTCAACTTGAAAACCAAGATTGAATGTAGACATTGACAACAAATCTATTAAATCTCTGAATGCCCTGTAATTCACGAGCAGTCAACTATATAACAGCTTCATTACTATCAAAAAGCAATTCTATCTTCATTACATAAATCGCTTTGGCCATCCAACGATCCAACGTGCTATGTGAACGGCACCAGGCTTGCGAACTGGTGCTGCCCCAGCGCATTTTAAACCAATCATATAAGCAGCGAGTTGTAAAAATTCTCGATAGTCATCTCGTGGATGGCTGAGTTAAAGCTGCTCAGCAATTAACTCCTTCAGATTGTCAATGGCACTCACCAATGGCACTGATTGTGGCATAGGCTGACGGTGGACCAACTCTGACCATTTCTCTCTGAATCTTTTAAAAATCAAAATTTCTGGTACAGTTGACGGACCTAGACACACTCAATATGCATCAGACAACAACACCTCAAACATGTGGTGGCGACATGCCATCCATAGCAGATTGCGACCGAGAGCCTTCTCCAGAAGAGTGCAGAGTCCACTCAGTTTGCCAGTATTTGAGGCTGTTGTATCAAAGCACATTTCAATGACTTGTTGATCGCACTGCCATGATTTGAGTTGGTCAAGAATTGCCTCCGATCCCACTTTGGTACTTCCAACAGTTTAATATTTCCATCAATAAGTGAAGAAACAAGAACTGCCAATCTATCAACTTGGTTAGTGTCTACTCCAGTGATGTCAGGTGGTAGTATGCCATCTCAATGAACGACAGACTTACTAGGTAGAAAGTCATCCTTGATCTTCTGTGCAGCTTCACAACAAAAAAGCTGTCGTTGACAATGGACTGCACTTTTTAAAAGAACAACAGATGTTGTGGAGCATCCAATTTCATTAACCATTGATGCAATTATCATTGTTGATTTACGAATGCTGATGTTTGTGCGGTCTAATACAGCAGCCACTTTTGAAGTCACCACATCAGCACACTTGGGTTGCTTGGTCAGTCTATCATTAGTTGGAGACTTTACAACAAATTCATCCATAGATTCTTCATCATCTGAGGAGCACAACTTCGATGATTCTGCTGTTTCCTCATCTTCATCTTCAGTTTCCACATCTGCATTAATTGCGGTCCTGCTGAAGCTGCTCTTTGCTGGAGTACTAGCAACTGTCAGTTTCTGCTTCTTCTAGAAGTAAACAAAATTCTGCATAACATTACAACCTGAAGGAAGGTGAGCTCCAGTTATTATGTAATATGGATGGCCAATCAACCAGATCATGTCGGTACTTCAAGTTGTGTTAGGTTTACACTTTGCCATTGCTCCACAGTCTTTATTCTACAATAAAAGTAAAAAACTTGTAAAAAGTAAATGTATAAGATATCTAAAAAATCTGTTTTTAATAATTTTTGTTAAATTTCTGCTTAAAACACTTGTCATTTGTAGAATATAATCTTTACTAGTATTTTGTTTTACATGTATAGCCATTTGAACAGTGCCAAATTAGTTTTAATTGAATGAAAGGGGGGGGGGGTGGATTTTAGAAAAAAAGTTACTTTGGTCAATTTTTTCCCCATCAAAAATTCTAGACCCTTAGGGAATCCCTAAATATTTTTCAATTGTCATAAAAAAACTTAGTTGTTGTTGTGGGACCATTAAGAAACTTTTAAGAGGGACTGCATCAAAATTATCCACAAAAAATTTTATCAGTTATAAACATGAGACACCCTAATATATATATATATATATATATATATATATATATATATATATATATATATATATATATATATATATATATATATATATATATATATATATATATATATATATATATATATATATATATATATATATATATATATATATATATATATATATATATATATATATATATATATATATATATATATATATATATATATATATATATATATATATAAAACACTTGATTTAAACATTTTAAGAATAAAAATTTATTTTAATGGGTGCCCAAGACCCTTGAACATTTAATAGGTCAAGGGTCATGGGGCACCAAGGAAATATTAAAAAAAAGTTTTTCAAAAGTATGTCATGTTGGGTTCTCAA